CAAAGAAGTTCAGGAGTGATCCCTAATACTGCAGAAAAAGAGAAAGGAAAACATTTGATTGCAATTCCCCTGCTCTGGAGAGCGAAGAAATCTTTCCGTGCATTGCGCGGTGGTTTGTGTGCAGCATTTTTCTCTCTGATGAAGTCAGCCTTTGTGGCAGGAGGATGAACCTTTGATCGTTCACAACGCCCTTTAAATGTGGTTATGGTCAGAAAAGTGACTGTACAGAGCACAGAGTCAATATTCAGTGCAGGTGCATCACTGAGGCCTGGAGAGAGCCTTCATTGTAGACATATGCAGGGGGTGAGACCACTGATTACTGTCACATCACGATCTCTGGTTCTCATGGCAGTCGGAGCTCAGCCAAAGCCAGGAAACCCTGACCATCTTATGAACTTTCCTTGCCCTCGAGCTCTGGGTCACGCTGGGAGACGAAGCTTCTGAATTTGGGGGCGGGGGCTTTGTCCAAGCTGAACCTCTTAAGGTTTGAGCTGATTCTGCCAAGAGCCTGTCCCAAGGTGAGCTCTTTCGGTGCAAATGGCTTATTGCTAGCCAGGCACCATCACTGCTTTGGGGGCCTCAAATGCAAGGATGTGTAGTTGGACAGGTTGATCTTAGAACTTTCGGATGACCGCCCAGCTGAGCCCTGGCCAGTTGGGGCCTGTCTTCACTGAAAACTTAACTCACATCCTGCCTTTAGCCCCTGCCCCTCTCTTGTCTACACACACAACCCTCTCTCTGAATTTGGTGGTGCTTCAAACCAGGCTAGCTGGCCTAGCTGGGGGCTGACCTCAGGTGTCTCTGCTTTCACTCAGGCTGGAACCTGGCCACTTTGCAGGGAAGACACAGGCTAAATCATTCGAGTGCTGATAGCCCTCCAATGCCTTCCCACAGTTCTCCCCATGTACCCCAAAAGACAGACAAGTTCTCCCACAATTCACTGGGAAAGAATAATACTAATTCCTGTAGCACAAAGAACTACGGGTGTTACCCACCTAACAAAGCACATCTCCCTTTCAATGGGAGAAGCTTTCCTTTACTTTCTCTCTTACTTAGTGTCATGGGTGCACAATTGCTGCTGTGGTTCACCCCAGAAGCAGCTGCATTTCAGCAGCTGAAGAATGGTTACTATTCACAACAATGCTCTGTATTAATCAGCCACCCGAGACACCAACATAAATGTCTTGTCAAGGAGAGGTACATTCAAGGTGGAGAATACAGCATGGGGGTATTTGAAAGAGATGGCTTAAAACAGGTTGCTGCTTATTGGAGCCATCCTGTTCTCTCTGTAATCCATAAAACAGACATAGGCATGCAGCCAACTTTTCAAAAATGGCCATTCCAAATTTTGGAAGCCCAACCTGAGACGATTTTCAGAGCTGCTGAACACCAGCAGCTCCACTGACTCCAGATGAAGTTCTGTGTGCTCTGCAATTTGTAAAATCAAGCCCAGCATGTCTCCCACTGGAGACCCCCAAAATGGAAGCACCTACATTTTTGAAAACCTTGGCCTTCATCCATAATGTACTGTTGGATCCACAGGATCAAAGTCACGGGTCAAATCCTGATATTTTCACTCAGTCTCAGGCAAAACTCTCATATAAAGTCACTAGACATTTTGTCTGAGAAAGGACTGTGGATTTTGCCTCCTAGGAACGCAAGGTAATAATCATCTGACATTTCTGCAACTCCATTCATTCTTCAGGATCCAAAGGTGTTTTGCCGACTCTATGAAGGATCACTTCAGTAGAAGGAGCAGCAATAGACTTTCCTCTGGGGCAGCTGTATGGCTCATGGGATACCTTGAGAAGGCAGGGACTGGTTTTTGCAGGGAACTGAGCGTGTCTGTGGTGTGCTCTGAGCTGCTGTAGACGGGACTGGCTGCATTATGCCGGGAATGTGATTAAAAACTGGAAAAGCTGAAGCCAGCGTATTCCCAGAGGCACTATAATGTAATATATATGCCCAAGTAATAAACACAAGACCCCTGTCTCAGACTCAGTCTGGCCATTCAAGGACAAAGCTCGGGAGGCGACAGCATAGGGCGGAACTCTGATCAGCGGTGGCTTCTTTAGTAAGGTTGTGTTAGCACCCTTAACACCCCACAAGGGTTTCCCAATTACCCAGCTACCCCAGACTCCATGTAACTCTAGATTCCAATAGGATGCAACATTTACCTGCTGGTGTCCTTCCTTAGAGGTTTTTAAGGTCAGGCTTGACAAAGCCCTGGCTGGGATGATTTAGTTGGGAATTGGTCCTGCTTTGAGCAGGGGGTTGGACTACATGACCTCCTGAGGTCCCTTCCAACCCTGATATTCTATGATTCTATAATTCTATGATCTGAGCTGTTGATCTCTTCCTTAACCAGAGCTGAAGCCAGACTCTTCTCAATCAGGTTAGGCCCCTAGGAATGGAATGTAGCCACATGTTTATAGCTAGAGGAGTCATTTAAGGACTGATCCAGAGGGAATGAGCTAAACATCAGCCTTCCCTGACCTTGGACTATAGGTTTAGATCCAGCAGGGCCAGCTGTATTCTTCCAAGGAAGTGGAACTGAGTTCCAGGTATTGGGTCTGTCAGATGAGACTTTTAAAAGAGGAGTTACTGCAGTCTGTCCATGGAAGTTAAAGATCCCCTGGCATTGGCCACCCCTCTGTATTTATGCTGATAAATAGATGCATGGAGATGCCACAGCAAGGCCTGGCCGGGGGATGGGGGGAGACATGCCTCTTAGCTCTCCTCCTACACATCTAGCCATATTTGTTTGGTGTTTGCATGTGTTACAAGTCCCCAGCTGTGTCTGAGCAGAGGATGGAGCCGTATCTATGGAAGCTTGCATATTAGCAGCTTGTAATTTTAGCTCTGGAGGTCCCTGGTTCAGTGCCCAGTCTGGCAGCCAAAATGGCAGCTGTCACATATACCTTTGTTCTCCTCTGTGCCGTGCAAGTAACTGAGGGGAAAGTAGGGTCCTTAGGCTACGTGCATTTAATCAGTAAAGTGTCTAACATCTGGAGGAAGCTACTGTATGAGTGCAAGAGCATCGTTATGGATATCTGTGGTAATGAACTCTGATCGGTCCTGTGCACAGCTCCCTGTACAGGAGAGTCGTTTCTTCATTCACAGAATGTGCTGCACTTAGGAAACAAATCTCCCCAGCTGGTATTATCTACAATGACGGGAAATGTGTACTTGCCCCATTACTTAGTCCTACCCAAATCAACGTATCAGTCCATGCCCGAGCTGAGCTCAACGGGACCTTTCCTTAGCCAGATAAATAGGGCTGGGCACAAATTTTGCATCACAATGTTTTTTTCAACAGAAAATTGAGTTTCCAACCAAATGGAAATTTTCATGGGACGTGTCTACTTTCCTCGAATTTACAATTTTTTGCCAGAAAACTGAACCCCTCCTTCCAAACGGAACAATTGGGGGGCGGGGGGGGTTGGCCAAAAACCAGAGTCAGGTTTTTTTTATGAAAAATCAAAAATTTCTGCTGAAAATTGCCAAAAAAAATTTCCCTGATTGTGTCCACAAGGGGAAAATAATTAATTTTCCAACCGGCTCCATTGCCAAGTGTACTTGGCATCCCACCAACAGAGATCCCCTTTGACTGATCTGTTTAAGGTTCACCTAGGGCCTCCTGCCATAAAGGGAAACCCCCAGAGTTTTGTGTTGAGATGCGCCTAGGAGGCCAATGAAGGCTACTTCCTGCCTTTGTCATTTCAGAATCCCTGTCTGACACACCCTGGCTTCAGCAAAGCAGATACTAGACCTGTAACCACATCCTCGCTGCCGATGAAAAGGCCTACTCTTTGCTTTAAGAAAAAGACATTGGCAGTGTCACTGGTTTTATTAAGCCTTTGCAAGGTCTCGAGGGGATGGGAATGGGGATTTCCAGTGTACGTAATGGACTAGCAACGTCCACAGATGCATCTGCCTGAATCCCTAACACAAATCAGGGTTTGGGGTTGGCCAGGGCTGAATTCTCAAATCTTGCTGGGGAGATTTCTGGCAAAAATCTGACCAGTCCTTGTGAGAGTATTTTCTAGGGGTATCTTCAGTCCCCCAAGGGTTCTGAAATTAGTACAATCAATGGGCAAAGGAGGACTATATGAAGATACAATCCTGGTTTGAAGTGGTTTCCATCATATACAGGGTTTACAGTTTGGTTCGATGACTCTCAGCACCCCAGCTGATCATGCTGGCGGTATTACCTCATTGTTTTCTTGTATTCATATATATAACTCTTTGTTGTCTCTTGTCTTATACTTCGATAGTAAGCCACTTGGGGCAGGGACTGTCTTTTTGTTCTGTGTTTGTACAGTGTCTGGCGTAATGGATTCCTTGTCCAGGCTGGGGCTCTTATGTGCTACAGAAACACCAATAATAAACAGTAATAATGACAACAACAGTAGAAGCCACTTGCAAAATTATTAGGGCAAATACTTCTTGATTTCAAGGGGACTTTAAGCACATGCTTAAAGTAAAGCACATGCTTAAGGGCCAAAAAGGCTTATCCATCTTTGCTAAGTGCTTTGAGATCTGCAGCTGGAAAAGCATTGGCTCATTAGCTTGTGCTATAGCAGCTTATGCTTTTAGCTCTGAATGTCCCCATTTCAACTGTCAGCCAAGCTAGCAGCCTTCACACATGCGCAGCTAACTTAGCGACGTGAAGAGCATGCAGACCTTGTCAGATGCGCTTTGGATGAGGCAGGCAGTGAAGAGAGTACTGTACCCAGCTCCCTAAGTTAACTGTACCCAGTTAACCTCAGCTCCTGCCCTCCTCAGACACAGAGTAACCAGAAAAAGAACCCACCGGTTTTGCATAAGGGTTAATGGACCCCAAAGAATTGGATTCAATCTGCGATGCTGGCAGATGTCATTTTCAGGCAGGGCTTGGCAGCTGTGGGGCTCTCGCAGCTGCAGGCCAACTCAAAGGGAGAATGTGAGCGGAGTCGCTGGTTTAGTCATGACGCCAGGCTCTTGTTTCTTCTCTTCAGGAGGCCCTTTCGGTGGTGAGTGACGACCAGTCCCTCTTCGACTCCACGTACAGCGCTGCCGCTCACCTCCCCAAGGCGGACATGACGGCCTCAGGGAACCCCGACTATGGCCAGCCTCACAAAATCAACCCTTTACCTCCCCAGCAGGAGTGGATCAATCAGCCGGTCCGGGTCAATGTCAAGAGGGAATATGATCATATGAATGGATCCAGGTAAGGAAGGGCGTGCATCTGCCCATCTGATATGTTCCTATATCAGGGAAACCTTGCTCACAAAAGTGATCTGCTATACGTTACCCATATACCTGTGTACATACAAACCCATCCCTTCACTTAGGGGCAGATCCTGGTCCCGCTGGAATCAAGGGGAGTTTTGTCATGGCCTTGAATGGGGTCAGGATATGGACGTTGCAATTTTGAAACTTGCATCTCCATAGCTATTGTCAGGGCTGGGATTTGAGTCCTCCAAGGACAGACCTTGTGCTGCAGGCACTGATGTAGACGGCACACTCCAGTGGCCTCTCAAGGGGCTCAGAGGCATTGAACAGTTGGTCATGCAATAGTAGGCCAGTACTGAATCCAGCACTGCTGTGCTGCTGGAGATAGTGTTGGCCAGGACTGGCTCCAGGCACCAGTGGAGGAAGCACATGCCTGGGGTGGCACATGCTAAGGGGCAGCGCTGTCCTGGCGGCAGTTCGGGTGGTTGTCCAAGCGGCTTTTTTTGTTGTTGTTTTTTTTTTTGCTTGGGGTGGCAAAAATGGTAGAGCCGGCCCAGGTGTTGGCAATACAGTAGGTGGCGCTCTCCCCTCTGTCTACACTCAGTGTCTCAAGGGGCCATGCTGCGACTGGAGGTGCCGTCTTTCAGATAAGATTTAATCCTGAGGTTCCGGTCTTATGTGACTTTCCACCAGGTACAATGGAACAAAAGCCACAAATCCCCTGTCTTAAGGAATATCACAACATTGAAATCCCACCAATGAAAAAGAGAGCGTGGGCAATAGCTGTGCCCCATGATGATAATGATCAAGATGTCACAGGAATGAAGTGCTGGCCGGGATGGTTATAGAGTTGTGTGGGCTAGCAACTATAAGTGCCCCTCCACCCTGCCCACACTCCAGCCAGTCCAGTCAGAGCTGGGTAGGAAGTGGTTTTCCCATCCCAGGAGAATTTTAGAGATATTTTGAAAAAATTTCCTGTCCCAAATTGGGACAAAACATTGAAATCTCGCAAAATGTTTACAAACTGAAAATCTGGGAGGGGGGAAACCAATCAAATGGTGTCAATCAAAATGTTTCCTTTTGCTCATTTCAATTTAAAACCTTGGTTTCTAAGAAGAGCCTTACAATGAACTGCATTTGAAACAGGAAGCCCTGCAGCCTACCACTTTAAATCTCTGGGGAGAAGCAACGTAGTTAAAGATCTGGTACTGCAGTATATGTGGGGTTTGCCCTGTAAGTGTACAGTAGATATATGTTTGCAGCGTTGTTGTAGCCATGTTGGTCCCAGGATATGAGAGAGACAAGGTAGGTGAAATAATATCTTGTATTGGACCAACTTCTGTTGGTGGAAAGGACAAGGTTTCAAGATTCAGAGAGTTTTTCTCCAGACCTGAGGAAGAGCTCTGTGAAGCTCAAAATCTTGTCCCTTCCGCCAACAGAAGTGGGTCTAATACAAGATATTATTTCACCTGCCTTGCCTTTAGAGAAGATGGAGAATGGATATCAAAAATAATAGCTTTGTGTCATCGCTAATCTTTGTCCACAATCTGCTGAGGTTTGAGTTTGATCCCATGCTGGTTTGACCCTGGTATAATTCCATTGATGTTCATGGCAGGGGGGGAGAGGGGAAGGGAGGGTCATCCCACCAATTTTGCACCAATGTTTATGAATACAGAATGGGGGCCCCAAGTGCAGAGTAGAAATAGAATACCAGGTGTGTTCTGGGGAATCTCATCCTCCCAGAGAAATGGAAGCAATAGAATGGATCCGGCAAATGCAAGCAGGTTAGCATTATCTTACCACTGTAGCCTAAAATATAATTTATAATATACTGTTACTCATTTTGACTGGCCAAAAAATTTGGGGTCTAGTAGGTTGTCCCAGTTAGGAGAAGGAATTGGTAATAGTCAGGTATTTCTTTGATGCAGTGTACACCTATCAATCTCAATGAGGTTTTATCTCAACCCGTAACAAGATTCACACAGCTCATAACAAAACAGTGGCAGTATGGAGAATGCAACTGGCATAAAAACATGTCTTCATGTGGGATGAAGATTTGTGCACTATGCTGGACAGAAGGTTTGACTGTTTTGTCTTATGATTAGTTCACTGATAGGTTCTGAGATGGCTGAGTTGGCTTAGATGGTGACTTGGACTACATGACACACAGGGGCATAAGGAGGGGTGAGAACCCCTTTATACCTCTCCATGGGGTACCCAAATCTTAGGCATGGTGTCCCTCTTTACCACTGTATTTTTCTATATGGCGCTTAGCAAAATTTTGGAGGCCCACTGAACAAATAAAAATATACTGCTACTGTGCTACATATGAGCTTAATATATGCACAACATTCACATATGTCTTACATGTGCTGCAAGCGTATGTGCTGTGTGGGTACAGTATGCACAGATATACTCAGATAACATGTTTTGTGCATTTATATTGCATTTATCTGGGAATCAAACATTCTGGGTTTTATTCTGGCTCCTCCTTGCTTTGGGATCCCTCGATATGCTCCAATTTCCTTATCTGTAAAATAGGGACAATTCTACAGCCTTATTACGCCAGCTTGATTCGTTAGTGACTATAAAGTGTTTGGATACGTGCAGAAAAGGCACCCAGAAGTGAAAAGTGTGGTTATTCACACAATAAGAGAAACAAGAGAAACTATTTTATACACGGGATTTGCTTCACTAGTTTCCCAGAAGCAGAGGCTCCTCGGGCTTCTCGAAAATTGGCCAACTACATCCCAATCTGAAGAAACAGAAAGGATTGTTTTGGGCGTCCCTAATTAAACCAACGCAAGGAAGCACTGAGATCGAGACTGAAACGGCTCCAAGCCTTGCCCTGATGATAACCTGTTAGCCTGAGAGCTCACATGCACCCAGGAGATTGGAGGCCCAGTCCTCTACTAGATGGAAGATCCACAGACCTCCTACTCACAACTGAGAGATTTGCCCTGTCCCCCGGTCTCCATTACAGTTCATTGTCATGGCTTGGGCCATTCCAGTCGCCCCGTTCCTCCGTCCATCAGCTGCCTGCCAAAACTGACACACCATCTGAGCAGTGAACGCCAGCCTCAATACAGATGAACTCGAACGGTGGACTGAATAATAAAACCTTCCTCCCACCCCTCTGTCGCTGTCTTTTTCTCTCTTGTTTTTCAAGTGCGCCCTCTTACCAGGCTCCAGCTGCCTTGTTAAAGAGAGCAGCCTTTATTCTGTGCTTCACCTGTGCTTGAAGCAATAGCATTTGCTGCTTGACGGGAGAATGGCTTGTATTCTCTAGGGAGTTATTAAGCTATATGATTCCTGACAGTGGAGGGAGCTGGATGGGGGTAAGTGACCATGTCCAGCTTAGCTTTTCTTTTCTTTTCTTTTCTTTTCTTTTCTTTTCTTTTCTTTTCTT